CAAGTCATCATCAAGCAATCAATACTACAATAACAAAATTGTGTTTCTCCATCAGCTTTTTTGTTTTTGTTTTCCATTAGTTGTACGTCGTTTTTATTGATTCAACTAGGTTTTGTACTCACGCTACGCGTGGGTTTGTTTTATCTATGAGTTTAATATATATTTGGATTTGTTAATTTTATATGATCTAGACATCAATATGTAAATGCAAAAGTATAATGGTAAAAAATAAAGATATCATTGAAAATAAATTACTTGACCATCAATTGTATTTTGTCTCGGTTAGTAATATATCATAAATATTAACAATTATTATAACGATTGAATAATTGTTAGTACAATTCGGCTTATGACTATTCTTTTTCTTCATATTTTTGTTTGTGAACTCCTTCTTCTATTACAACTATAGAAATCTTGGAAAACATCAAATCAAAAACTACAAAAATTAGGATATATTTCTATAACATTTGAAAATTTATGTGATCTTATTATGGTTAAAATTCATAATAAATATGTTTTAAAAAATGAAAAAGGATATACATACTCTTTGTAACACTCATATATAAACCATCTCTTTTTAAAAATTATTGTTGAAATATTTAATTGGTATTACATCATTTTAGCATCGTATAATATTTTTTTTATTATAAATGTAGTAGGGATAAAAATATGTGATATAAATAGATTTATCTCACGATAAAACAAAAAAAGGATTTATCTCAAGCAATCTATTTCTTTTCTTTTTTTTTTGCTAATATTTTGGTTGATTTAGAATTAGATTATTATTTTTTTTGTCTAGATTTCTTTTGTTTATATTGTTGGTTATAGTAAACTTAGATATCAGTAAAATGTATATTAACATAGGCATAAAATTTTATGAACATCCTCTACGCATTAACATAGACGATGTAACATGTACAAATTCATTTATTTATTTCAAATGATTTTCATCCCAACATAAAAGTAGGGGAGAGAACATAAAAATAATTGAAATATAGCAAAAATGACCACCAATTACATAATGGTACGTAATCCGATAGATGTTGATCTTTGTTTTCTTATTTGAAAGCATTATTACATTTTTTTGTACTTGGAGAACAAACATACAAATCAGAAACCAATCCTTGAATTATGATTGTCCACTATATATAGCCTGCACATTCATCTTCATGCGCACGACAAAGGTATCATGTGTTCCATCTCCCATCATACGGAGGGAGTATGATGAAACAAAAAGTTCAGCATTTTTCCGTCTTGGTAGTTACTCATAAATAAACATGGCCAAACATCTCTATGGAGACATAAGCGTACATTCACAAGTAGTAGTCTTTTATTGTTCGCAATATTTGGACTCTTATCAAATCATTGGAAAATCAGTGGTAATGTTTTCTTTATAAAAGAAGCTATTTTAAGACATGCGGTTATAAGTTTTACAAATAAGAAAAATTAAAATATTAAAATGTGGCAGAAAGAGAAGCCCCAAACCTAATTTCTAAATGTATTGAAGTCAAATTACTTCCAAATCTTACTAAGTTTGTTTTGTTAGTTAGACAAACCAACCTACATTACATACTTTCTTAAAACATTTAAAACCCACGAAGCCTCATAATAAGTAAAATATACCTCGTAAATCTTCTGTTTTCTTGAAGTTTAAGTTTCTTCAACTTGGCCGCCTATCTTTTCAATTCATTTTGGAAACTGGTTTGGGCTCCAGAATCAGGAAGACTTTAGACAAACTTATTCCTTGTTTCCTTCGATTATTATCCCTTTATTATTTAGTATTTACAATTAGTGATTACAACTTCAAATCCTATTTTATAGATTGCACGTTAAAGTTACTCAAAACAAAGAAAAAATGTTGTAACCACAAAAATATTCCAAGTATTTAATTCATGAATCAGTGCACAATTAATAGATGGATGAAGCCAATATTAGTAAACAGAGTGGGACACTTGGAATTTTCACTTATTATGCTTTATGAACATTTTGTAATGAGAATTAAGGGAAAATGATGAATGGTACCATTAAGAAACGGTAAGAGCGTCGTCTTCAATCGCCGGCTCCTTCCTACACTGGGTTCTCCACCATTTTTGATCACCTGCGGATATGAGAATACAAGAAACGTTGTGAGATTCCATTCAAAGTTCTTACCCTAACTTTTCATTATGATCACATGATTCCACGATCCAACAATTCAGAGGTGGATTGATCAGAGAAGTCTGAAATATTTGAGCACTTTCACGAAACATGTTTCTCCTCTAATCTCTTGAATTGAGAAGGATATGAAAAGCAATAGTCTTAAGAACATCGAAGCCAGAGCAGTGAGGTGAGAAGGACATACTTGTTCGTCGATGAAGAGGAGCTCGAGGATGTTGCTTTTCGTCGGATAAGTGGGACTCTGCGCAATCCTCCGGAGTGAAGACTTGGTTTTGGGGCATAGCTGGTTTGCGTCGTTGAAGCGAATAGGTAGTGCAAGGATTTCTGAGGAAGTAAGAAGATGAGAGTTGTGGTTTGCGTAGGAATGGACTGTTGTATATAGGAATGAACGGAGACGGATTGATTGAGGCGTTTAGAGTGAGAGAAGTTATAGTTAGGAAGGTGAATGGTATGTAGCATGTAACGATGGGTTTAGCAGTGGAGGAGCCGAAGGATCGTAACCGTAGACGAGAGGATTCGTCGGTGGCATGAAGATAGGAGATCGGTGAAGAAATGTCTCGTTTGGTTATTTGTTAGCAAGGGAAAATTTATGGGCTGGGCTGGAAATGTTTTATATTAAAAATGGCAAATGGCAAACCATAATGCATTTGATAATTGCCGATGGACCTTGCTGAGTTGTTTAATTGATTGGCTGATATAATCCTGATTTTTTTTTGCTGACGTGGACAGCCTTAGAGCTCTGAAATTATATAAAAGCAGATGCAGGGTTGGGCTTTCGATTATTTGGTTCAGTTTGTTCGGTTATGGCAAAGTTTGGTTCGGATATAATGTTCTTCGAAATAAAATCCAAGTGTTAATTAATTTGATTCGGCCGATTAACAAATCTCGGTTTGGTTCGGTTTATATGCCCACGACAAAGATACTGTCAAAACATTTTTTTTCTTCTTCTAATTTTCCCATTTTTTTATTCATAGAAGCGATACGTTATAATGAACTCAAATTATTGTCTTAATTGAAGCTTTATCTCCTGCAAAATGCGCATTTTCCAAGCATAAAAACTCCCAAATTATACAGTGATATCTTCCCTCACGAATCGAGATATTCGTTGACCTCACATCTCGAAATAATCGAGGAGGTGTATTAAAAAGAAATAGAATGGGATCCTCGTTAATACGCGGATAAACACATTAAAAAAAATAATATAAATATCAAAATGTAAGTTTAGTTAGTAACTCATTTAATTACAAAAATATTTTGAAATATTTAAATAATAACGAAAACAAATATTCATACACATTATGAATTTATATTAAGTATATGATAAAATTTTATAACAATTAAAATAATATAGAGTTAAAGTATAAAACAATAAATTTATGTGAGTTATCTTATAAAAATCTATTAAATATTTTATCAAATTTTTATCAAACATGATATATAAATTTATGATTGATAAATGTCATTGATGTCATCAGTTTATTTTTCATAGAGATCTATACTCGTCGAATTTTATAATTTTGGATTTTAACGATAAATATATTATTATTTTTTCCTAGCTATTTAGGATTATTAGAA